CTTAACTGTAGGGATTATAAAATGTATTTAAAATAAATAAACAAACAACAATAGTCATATTTTTGAATTTTCATATTTTTCTAAGAACAAAAAGAAAAAGATTGCTCTGTCGATAATTGAACCCGCGTCGCGACATGGGCGCGATATGCAGTTGATAAAATTGAACAATCTATGAATCGATCCGTTAGCTTATTAGTTATGAGTTATGTATATTACCCAGAAAAAATAAAAAATGATGTAATTACTATCAAATTATTTTAATAATTTGTTAAAAACCAATATAAAATCTATGTTAAAAATTTATTCATTAAAACGTTTGATGAATATAGATATTACATTGATCAAAATAAAAATTATATGGATGACATGTTTTACAGCAGAAAGTAGATTCATATTCCCACACGGGTGGAAAGTAAAATCTTATCCACACGCGTGTGATATAGGACACTTCCTATAAGACTAAATGGTGGTCGTAGCAAAAATATATTACACATCGACTGTTTGACTTTGTTACATGTGAAATCCTTAAATCTATAATAACATATTCAAGTTAGGAGAAAATGTATTTCAAAAGATGGTCAGTTTTTATACTTATAATATATTTAATTTAATGACACTGTATATCCAGTTCCTACAAATCCATAGGGACGTAAGGGGTCGATGAACGATATAATTTCCGATAAAAACAGTAACATTATCTTTGCGTTCTCTATTATGAATAAATTTCAATACATAAAATAATTATAATTAGTTCAAAAGTAATTGCTCTTATTCACGCAATTTTTGTAATTTAGTTTTATTATATAGGTAATGTGCATTTTCGTTATCATTTTAAATATTCATAATAGTGGCTAAATTAAAACAAATTCCAATATGAAATTCATATTGCAATTCTAATAATCATAATAATTATGTAAATGACAGGTACCTATTGACAATAAATAATTTTTTAGAAATAAACTATTTAAATGATTTTAAATGATTGCTTTTATGCAAGCTGGCAATCCATTTTTACTTTCCTATCTGTATACAGATATAAGGAAAGTATAGGAATCATGATTTTTTTCGACCTCGAGTTTTCGACGGATTTTTACGTTTTGAGGTCCCCTGAATCCGTTTTGACTATTTACGCGATGATGTCTGTGTGTCTGTGTGTGTGTGTGTGTGTGTGTGTGTGTGTGTGTGTGTGTGTCTGTGTGTGTGTGTATGTGTGTGTGTGTATGTGTGTGTGTCTGTGTGTGTGTGTGTGTGTGTGTGTGTGTGTGTGTCTGTGTGTGTCTGTGTGTGTGTGTGTGTGTGTGTGTGTGTGTGTGTGTGTGTGTGTGTGTGTGTGTGTGTCTGTGTGTGTGTCTGTGTGTGTGTCGCATAACTCATGAACCGATACACAGAAAAACACCAAAGGACCCCGCAATAATCTTATAGAAATTGGGTTTCTGTCAAATTGTCTGAATTTTTGATATGTTTTAGATTTTGTCATCCTGAACAAAAGTCTCCATGGGCACAAAGTGCCAAAATGAATATTTTGGCAGCTACGGAGCTGCCAAAGCTCGCCTGACCCGTTGCAAAACTATTAATTTTCAATACTATTTACAGATGTCAAAAGCATATTTTAATTATTCTAATATATAGGGTAATGTTTTTGAAGTCACTGGATTCAACCCTCATGTCAGATTGGACAAATTGACCGTTGACAGCTGTCAATTAACGGTCAACGAGGAATATAAAAGTAAATATCCTCTTTTCACAATGAGAGTTTGGGTTTTTGAGGTCGCTGAATTCAATTCTCATGTCAGATTGGACAAATTGACCGTTGACAGCTGTCAAATCACGATCAACGAGGAATATAAAAGTAAATATCCTCTTTTCGATGTCAACTGTCAATTTGTTCAATCTGACATGAGAATTGAATTCAGCAGCCTCAAAAACCCACACTCTCAATGTGAAAAGGGGATATTTACTTTTAAATTCCTCGTTGACCGTGAATTGATAGCGGTCAACGGCCAATTTGTCAAATCTGACATGAGGATAGCATCCAGTGACCTTAAAAACATTACCCTATATATTAGAATAATTAAAATATGCTTTTGACATCTGTAAATGGTATTGAAAATGAGTAGTTTTGCAACGGGCCAGGGGAGCTTTTGCAGCTCCATAGATGCCAAAATATTCATTTTGGCACTTTGTGCCCATGGAGACTTTTGTTCAGGATGACAAAATCTACAACATATCAAAAATTCAGACAATTTGACAGAACCCCAATTTCCATGAGATTATTGCGGGGTCCTTTTTTCCAGCGTCCAATGAACTGATTAGATTTTGGGCAGAGTCGGAACATCTGGGTGGTACTTTATAGGTGGTCATTTTTATATTTTATGGAATATATCTGTTATTTACATTTGGAGAAGAAAATATTTTATATAAAAGTTACTCCTAATATTATTATCTATAATTTTTATTCTATACGAAATTTTCCTAAAATGGTCCGTATTCGAGAAATTTGACAAAATGTAAAAAAAATATTTTTTTTTATAAAAATTGTTTAATTAAAAGTTGTTTGTAATATAATTATCTATAATTTTTATCCTATACATAATTTCTCTAAAATGGACCGTATTCGAGATATTTGAAAAAATGTGTAAATTTCGAATTTTGAAGAAAACTCAAAAACGGAAAAAGAAAAAAATTAAATTTTAAAATTAAGTTTTATTTCGGCCTGACGTGAAATGATAAGATTTTGGACAAAGTTGGAACATCTGGGGGGGGGGGGTACTTTATGGGAGGCCGTTTTTATATTTTATGGAATATATCTGTTATTTATGTTTGGAGAAGAAAATTATTCAAATAAAAGTTACTTCTAATATTATTATCTATAATTTTTGCTTTATGTCAAAATTTCCTAAAATGGTCCGCATTCGAGAAATTTGACAAAATGTGCAAAATGCTGATTTTTATGAAAATTGTTGAACTAAAAGTTGTTTGCGATATCGATCTCTATAATTTTTGTTTATATTATATTATGACTTTTCTAAAATGGACCGTAATGGAAAAATCGAAGAAAGAGTGCTAAATTTAAATTTTTCAGTATTTTCGTTTTCAATGAATATCTATAGAAAAATGTTTCGTGGTAGAAAATGTATATATTTAGGTTTTCCTCTAAATATTTATAGAGGTGCTGCAGTAGGTTGTACAAAATAACCGGAAAAAGCCTATTATAACTAGATAGGAAAGTCATGTGTTGGACATATCAGATTTTTACATTAATAAAAGTTCAGTACATAACTGAACAAAATTTTGTGGTAATCCTATGACCAGTTTTCCTAATATCTGCATTCAGAGTTACTATAGTTGAACGATGTTTTTAATATCTATTTTCAAATAGAATAAGGAAATAGTATATTAGATTACGAGTGTGAAAAATCACTTTCACACAAGTTATGTATAGTATTTTTCCTACGACCACAAAATAATTTTATCAAAATGTAAAACTAGGAGATCTGTCTATAAAGGTTCCATCAAGATGTAACTGATTTTTAGATTTGTTTTTTATATGCCTTATTGAATTTACAGATAGTGTTTTGTCAAAAATAAAAATATTGTGATTCCATTTACAAACAATTTAATAAAATAACATTGATACAAAAAATATTAGAAGACATTATTGTTTTTCATTAGTTTAATATTTTCTGAACAAATAACTTGAACAATCATGAACAAAAACTTTTTTATTATTAATTGTTACCCACTTCTTTACTCACAATTTTTTTTCTGAATAGTAATTAAAATAGTACAAAATATTGTAGGGGTTATAATATGATAAATAACATGTATTTTAAATAAATAAACAAAAGTGTTTATTTTTCCATTTTTCATATTTTTTCATAACAAAAATAAGAAAAAGTTAATCAATTGGGAATTGTGAACCAGCGTCTCGAAATTGTTACGAACTGCAAAGTTCAAAAAGTCAGACGCTAAACCATTTACGCTATCACGGCTTTGTGATTTGATTTAACTGATTAAATATGTATCTATATGAACCAGGAAAATGCAAAAATAATAATTTGTTAAAAAGAAATTAATGTTAACAATTTAATCATAAAAATCGATTTTACTATTAAAATAGACATTACATTAATTAAACTAAAAATTAGACGTCTGATTTATTTGACATCTTATGCGGAAAGTAGATTCATATTCACACACGTGTGAAAAGTAAATTTATCCACACGTGTGTGATATAGGGCACTTCCCATAATAATTAATAGTGCGATAGGAGTCACTTTCCTAAGAGGTCGTAGAAAAATGCATTATCAATAAATTATCAAATTATCAATAAATTATCAATAAAAAATTTGATTTGTAAGAATTGTTTATGAGGTTTTCATCCAAATAAATTGAGGTTGGAGGGTTTCAATTTATTTGAATGATAGCTGGTTAAATTTGATTTGTAAGAATTATTTATGAGGTTATCAATAAATTATCAATAAATTATCAATAAATTATCAATAAATTATCAATAAATTATCAATAAATTATCAATAAATTATCAATAAATTATCAATAAATTATCAATAAATTATCAATAAATTATCAATAAATTATCAATAAATTATCAATAAATTATCAATAAATTATCAATAAATTATCAATAAATTATCAATAAATTATCAATAAATTATCAATAAATTATCAATAAATTATCAATAAATTATCAATAAATTATCAATAAATTATCAATAAATTATCAATAAATTATCAATAAATTATCAATAAATTATCAATAAATTATCAATAAATTATCAATAAATTATCAATAAATTATCAATAAATTATCAATAAATTATCAATAAATTATCAATAAATTATCAATAAATTATCAATAAATTATCAATAAATTATCAATAAATTATCAATAACTTAGCAATAAATTAGCAGTAACTGTAAAAACTAACAAATGTTGCTGTGGCATTGCTTGCGTGTACAACATGATAATTATTGAGTTCTTAAAAAAAACTTACACACGGATCGTCAAAAATCATAGTAACATCTGAGGCATTCCTGATATCCAGATACTGATCAAGTAGATCCAAATGAGCTGTTATGGCGACGTCTATTTTGTAATAGGGTATTCCAATGTTTGAGAATATTGGTTCAGCTTCCTCTTGTTTACCCCACGATATGTCCAATATTATATTTGCACCATTAGAAAGAGCATTACAAACTATATAAAAAATATAATAAAATTAAGTCTTTTGATAAACTACAAATGGAATCTAGTACGAGAGGAATAAAATAACGACACGAGATGGTGCTATCAAACTTCCGAAATTATTGAAATATTGTGACTAAAAAGAAGCTTTCAGGTTCCTTTGATTTTATCACAATTTTTCTGTTACGTATTGTGTCCCTGTTTGTGGTCTTCAAATAGAGACCATAAACATTATAAATTGAAAGAATTATAGTGCTTTCAATAAATGAAAGGTACAAATTATACCTATTGTCTTTTATTGTATAATAAAATATACAGGGTGCATCCTAAGTTGATATGTTTCATCGCTAAAATAAATAAAAAGCTTTTTTCAAAAAACTCAAACATGAGGAAGATAAAGATATAAAAAATTTAAATCCGATGCTGGAATTATGTTTCAAAAATTAGATTAAATAAAAAGTTTTTAACGGTCTTATCATTTTTTAGCTTTTAAAATATATCAGCGCCGCTGTTATTGTAATTCGGACGTTTTGGTGATTTTAATAGTATAATTTCAATAGATTTACATCGCGAGCGTATCCTAGTCATAAAACCGTAATTAATCTAACTCAACGGGCTATAGGGATACGGAAAATTTGCAGGAACATCGTAGGATGATCGGTACGGAAAGACATGAAGTGCGTTTACGTTGAGGTGAATGGACCGTATTGAATACATTTTGGAATAAATAATTGTAAGTTCCTTACTTACTTTTGATTTATTTTTAAAGTTTATTTTAATGAATGCCATACACAGGTAACACGTTCACTGGCCTCAACGCGGCTCCGGCGTTCGGGATCTGTATCTGTAACGTATGGAGGGTGGGTTACCCCTATGGCACTTAGGCCTCATTAGGCCCATTGTGCATCCTCCTGAGATAATAGGCACCTCCTAGCTCGTGAGCCAGCCTACAGATTTATTATAGTTGACAACGTCGCCAAGAGGTGCTTCTCTTATATCGGCCGGTGTTAGCCGATACTCGCCAAATACAAATCTTCTAATAAATGAGAGCGTCAGGCAATCGTAAAGGATATGCTCGATGGTCTCATCTTGTTTTCACCCTCTGCAGCGTGCGGATTCTGACAGCCCCATGATATGGAGATGCTTTCGTACTTGGCAATGACCAGTCAGAATGCCTGTGACTAGGCGCAGATTCTGTCTAGTCATAGTCAAGTAGGTATTTGTTTTCTGCAGTGTTGTCAGGATAACTAAAGAGCTCCCTGGCATCTTTGCAGTTTCTTGTTTCATCCCATCTTTCCTTGAATTTCACAAGAGAATGTTCTTTGATTAGGCCTGTGACTACCGATTTTGTCAGGCCAATAGAAGAGCCAGGTCCAAAAAGTATTTGGTTGGCTGCTTTCTTGGTTAGTAAATCAGCAAGACGGTTACCTTTCGATTTGGCGTGATCTTTGATCCATCTGAAGGTGACCACATTGTTGATGGATACTTCGGCCAAAGCTTCGTGACATTCTAGTACTAACCCTGGGTAAATTCGTGGTCTGTTAAGGGTGAGTAGTGCTTGTCTGCTATCTGTATAGATGAACATGTTTCTTCCAGTGATTTTGTTTTTGGTCATTTCTTTGCTGCTATGAGAATCCCCGTTAGCTCTGTTTGAACTACACTGGCACTATTGCTCACAGCCTATTTTATGTTTAGGTTTAAGAATTTGGAGTATATTCCACATCCTGAGCCTTGTTTTGTTTTAGAATCGTCGGTACAGATATGAATCGTACCTGCCACCTCCGACTCTTCTATTTGTTCCATTATAACTTTTTATGGCTTATGGAAGATATATCTCGGTGAGATGGAGTCCATGTTAGCTCGAAGCAGTGGGAGCATATCGAGCGCCTCCTGCCAAAAGCAACGACTCGCCTCACCAGATCCTACATCTAGTGCAGGGCATAGTGGCGCATTCGTTTGCAAAATTAAAACAATTTTGCAAACGAATGCGCCAGTATGCTCTGGTCTAATCAGGTTCTATTCCAACCATGCGGAGGCGTGTAATTGTCGTCAGCGTAACTCACTTGGAGTAAATATCAAGGGGAGTGAGACTAAGAATGACTTCCATGGCCCTGGTCGGTGTTGATGGATCCTGTTATGTTGAGACATGCTGCTCTTTGAATTTGTTTTAGTTTATGGATAGCTGTTAATTTTTGGATTTTTGGTACCCAGACAACTGCACCGTATGTTAGCATAGGTCTTATAATAGCCGTGTAAGTCCATGCGACGACTCTGTGGGGAGAAACCCCAGGTGCGCCCCACGGTTCGGCGGCATTGTTCATAAGCAATGTATGCCCTTTTAACTTCATTTTTAACCGACTTCAAAAAAGGAGGAGGTTATCAATTCGTCGCGATATCTGCCTGTGGTGTTTGCATGTTGGTTTGGGTGTAGTGGTGTTGTTGTAATCATTGTATCCCTTATGTACCTTTCGCATAGCCTTTCCAATGTCTTCAAGGAAAACGATGTAAGACTAATTGGTCGGTATGTTTTTGGGACAGTGTAATCCATTCTTCTAGGTTTGGGTATAAATACCACTGGTTTTTATACCCGCGTTCGGGATATATTGGATTTTATATTGAGATGAATGTGTTGAGCATTCAAATAAGACTTGTAAGTAACTGAAATAGGTGGCGGTTTACGAAATTTGTTTATAATAATCATATGATAGCATTGGTGGCAGGTTAGTTGTAAAAAAGTGCGTATTAGTGAAATACTAGTTCAACTTACTTAGAAGATTATAGTTTTAGATGGAAATTTTGTTACCAGAGAATGTTTTTAGTTCAGTGTTCTTATTATTTATTCATATTTTGATTTCAAATTTTCATAGTCGCTTCCATTTTCGTTTGTATTTTGACATAGCATTTTCATTCTTGCTTTTCCTTTTCTTTAAATAATTTCTTTACATTCGTCGTCGAACCAGGGCTTCGTTGGTTTGCCTTTCTCTTGACTTAATAGTTCGGCTCCTTCATGGAATATTTTTTGAATCTCTCTCCATTTTTCTTCCATCGTGCTCTTATTTATTTCACTAATATTTCTATTAATCTGTTTCTGAAATTCAATTTTATGTTTCACTCTTTTTTCTTGTTTTGGTGGTTTCCTGTATTTTAATTTGGCACGTACTAGTATGTGGTCTGTATCTATATCTGCTCCTCGATAACTTCTTGCATCCAGTATATATTTTACTTTCAATGGTTATAATGTCTATTTGGCTGCAAGTTTTTCTATCAGGGGAGATCCATGTTCCTTTATATTATTACATTATCATAAAAACAAAGATAAAACTATAGCTTTGCAAAACATTGTTGGGCATTTTTTACCGCGTTGTCTGCATGCAGGACATTTCTTATAGCTGGGTGCCCTCAAGGCGTCTCCCGTGTTTTGTTTTTTTTACCAATTCATAAAATTCTATAAAAAAATAAATTAGGTAAATCTACATATGTATTTTCAAAAGCAAATGTACGATGGGCACCACACATGCGCAGGTTTAGAAAGCGCGACAGTGAAAGTGTTAAAACAAGTATCAACTTAGGGTTCACCCTGTATATCCAAAAATACCCACCCTTTTCGACAGAAGTTTTTAATTTATTATACTTCTTATATTGTACAATAGGTATAGTTTCGTTCAGAGATAATTTTTATACTGTCACAATTAAATATCAATATTATTAATACATGTATATTATATATGCACAAAGACTCCGTTTCTAAAAACAAGCGCACAGTTTTTAAACTATAAAAGTAAAGAAATGCGATTTATTTTATTATTACTAAGCGACTGTGGATTTTTGTAGAATTTATCGATTTTTCTCAGAAAAAATGTAAGTTTGGCATCGTTGCTTCCGTTTGCTAAGGAACATGCAAAATTTTATCACTCGTATATTTTCGTATTTTTTATTGACTTCTTTGACCGTTCGTGGTTCTATATTTGTTCTCACCTCACGGGATTTGCTATTTTAGTAAATCCACGTTGACTGTGACATCCAATTGTAGAGTCGTGCGTTTAAATATATTGCAATTTTATTGGGTGCTGGGTCACGCATTGATGTGTTATACTAGTCCACTTGGACTGAAATATTAATATTTTCAAATTCTAGTGTCGTATTTAGATTTTTCGATCATTTACTAATATTTTTTTTTTATTATTTAGTAGTTGCAAAATTTTGCTTCGAGAACAATAAAAAATGACGTTTATGATTTTTTATGTCGAACATATTTTTTCAAAATAAATACAATAAGTAAGGTTATTTCTCAAAAATTCGATTGGTCTATTATTTGGTAAATATATACATTTAAAAATTTAGATTTGTGGCACTTCTTAACTGAAATGCCATTTTGTACTTTGTTAAAAATAAATTCTGCGAAGTTTGCTATGAATTGTTGAAACTAAAGACATGCACTTTGCATCAAGTATGATATACTTTTCCAGAATATTTGTTTTTTTTAAATATCCAATAAGAAACATTTTTAAACAAAAAACACTTCGACAGATTGCATCTTGTCTTTTCGGATTTTAGAATTAAAAAAAAAATTATGTGAAGAAAACATGAACATAATCAAAGTTGTCAAAATTCGTTCAAATCGGCAGGTGAACAGAAAACAAACAAAAACCCACTTGTTCCTTTAATATTTCAAATTTTAAGAAATAATATTTGTTTTTTTCTCATATTAACAAACTGTATATAAAACTCTAAATGATGCGGACTTTAACGGAAACAGTATGTATATAAAAAATGATTTTTTAGTACTTTTGAGAGTTATGAAGATTACGTTTTTCTTGCACCCTTTCAGGCATCCCTCTGCTCCCCCCCCCTCATCCGATGGATTCCGGCAGACTCCCCCAATTATGCTTGGGTCCAGCCACTGGCTTTCTTCAATCAGGTTTGGGGTTCAGTTTGCTGCCCCTCCTCTTAGGGTTCGCATGGCGGCAATGAGACGCAGGTGGCCTATGGTGTCACCATTTGGATGCCTTACTCTTTCCCATGCATCATAAATTCATTCATTCCATGTCACCGATGGTTAACCGCTAGTCGGCTAAGTCCAGCGGTCACTCAGCCAAGACGTGACCGGAGCAGCACGGCTTAACTGCCGCGATACCGTGAATGCACACTAATCTCGCGGCTATCCTCTCTAGCATGGAGATTTAAGTAGTTTCGGTAGAAATTTAATACATATATAATTCTGCTAGACCTTTTTTGATTTCATACAATAAAAATATATAAACAACTCCAGAAAATGAATGCTGTTCAAGAAATAACCTTCGTAACATCCTTCTGTGATTTTAATATTTAATATTATATTTTTTCTCTTAAGATATTTCCAAACATAATCACAAATTAATCTCAGGGTGCCGTATGGCTGGATCCTTTGTATTGCCGAAGTTGCAAATAATTAAAAATTATCTCTGAACAAATCTATTAATACAATTTACTCTGCCTAAAAATTAAACTATTTTAGTTGAATTGAATTTACTTTTTGTTTTGTCGAGGGCATCATCAACGTTCAATATCGTTGTGTCAAACTTCGTCAATGTAGATGATTCCATGAATCGGTTGTACCATTCCGTAAATAGATCTTGACTTTTGTCCTTCATTAAAACTGAAAAAAGGAAAATATGTTTAGGAATATTAAACATTGATACATTCTTATGTTATATGATATGAATTGACATCAGAATTATCTGCGTCGCAATATAAAAGATACTTGTAGTCTAAGATATAGTAGGTCCTTCTGAGCCTTTATTTTTATTCCGATTTTTGTGAAATTTACAGGCTATTATAATAATAACAAAACTTAAGGTGGAGAAACCTTAATTTTTGTAAACCCTCGATTATTTTAAAAGGCATTTAAAAAAAACATTTACGCTCCATACCGTATTAAATCTATGAAAATTTGCTGCTTTTTGTTTAAATAAATATCTAGTAGTTTTAAAATGAGACGGTTTTCCAACTTTTTTTCTTAAATATCTCCGTATAGTGCTGCCTTATCGTAACACTTTAAAGCTCCCAATATTCTCGAAACACAAAATCGCGAAGTATTCGCAGTGGCGCGCATTTAAATACAATTATATTTTAGAAAATCCTAACATTTTTGCCTTTCGCGAGAGGTCCGGTTTGCTGTTAATGACTAATGACTAATGACTATAGTCGAAGAGCTGATGACGAATTTGGGGAAGATGTCTTAGATCATTTGAAATAGAGGACTTCTATACAAGGGAAGTGCAACCAACTTGAGAAAATAATATTGACACTAATGACATAAGAAATCGGGTCACATAAAGAGGCAGTTTTTTTGTTCAATTTTTGGTTTTTCTCATCTACTTTTATGCTATTTAAGATACTATGTTGTACCCATGACGTAAAAAAGACTTTTTATTTTAGGGTATTTTATATTTAAAGGTTAACGACATTTGTCAATATCAGCTGTCGATAATGTCAAAATATAGGCGTAGCAATGCGACTTATTTTTTATTGTTAATAGTCTATTTGTGTTTCTCCCGGTTTCTTTAAACATTTTTTTCATTTAGTTTTATATACTTATGTCAAATGCAAAAATGCTGCTGCTACAAATACAAGTTCTATACACTATGCAACCATATACAAAACTAGTTACGTTATGCCCATCTATGGTTATGCCTGTGTTTTATCATCAACATAATTGACAGCTGACGTTGACAAATTTTTTCAATCTTTAAATGTAAAATACCCTAAACTAAAAAGTCTTTTTTACCTTACGGGTACACCATGGTATGTAAATGGCATAAAAGTAGACAAGAAAAACCAAAAGTAAACAAAAAACAGCCTCTTTATGTGACTCGATTTCTTATGTCATTAGTGTCAATTTTATTTGGTTAAGTTGGTTGCTCTTCCCTTGTATATAAGTCATCTATTATAAGAAACAATAGGTACTTACCGATGTTAGTAAATTTAGAATCCAGAATCTGGAAGCTTTCTCACGGTTATTTTGTTACTGCGCAGCATATGACAATTTAAACAAAAACAAATAACTTTTAGGAACTTTGGAATTATTTTTAATTTTTTTATTTATAGAATCTAGAAATATGACAAGCCAGTACTCTACCTCTGTACTAATAAGCCAACTAACCTCTATTATTTAATACTAAAAATTTAAATTAGTTTTAGTTTTAATAAAATTTACAATTTATTTGTAAATAGAGACGGATATCTTGTGAAATACTATTATTTATCGATTCTTCACAAGAATTACTTATTTTTAATTATATTTAATTTAATCTCAATAACTAAAAAATATAGTGAAAATTAGAGGAACTGGTCCAAATATAGGGCCCTTTTTTATATTCTTTCATGTGTTGACTAAAATGAGAATGTAATGTAGTATAAAATCTTGCAACAACATTATGTAAGAGATTTTTAAAAATATTTTTGCTTTATTCTAAAATAAATACATTTCACTACACAAAATAGAGAAAAAATGGTTTGGAATATGGGCCAGATACCAAAATCAAATTTTTAGCAAAAGAATAAACATTTACACAACAAAAAATATAAAATTTTCTTGAAGTGCTTTCTTGTGGTTCTGGTTCCAGTTCACAACTAGTTGAAGCTACTGGCTATTTCAGTTAAATTCGTTTTCTCTGGAGTATGGCTAAGGCGTTTTTTTGCTTCATTTGCTCCAGGTTTTTCTTACGTTTTTGCACACATATTTTCTATTTTCGTATGATGCAGGCATTTTTACTAGTAAAAAAGTAAATTAAAGTGACGTGACCCTAATATGACCCCTGTGAGGGGCCCATATTTCAACATGGCTATGATATAATAAAATTGAAGTTGTAACTTAAATTTCTTTAAATAAACCAGAAATCAATAAGAATTATAAAATGTATGAGTATCGTAATCCCATTGCACCTAAAAAAGTTTAAATAAACTAATAGAAATATAAAAATTATACTTTTAAATTTTGCCTTAAATTATTTATAAAACTGTATAGGGCATTTTAAGATTTCACTGTTGTGACTTACTAGATTTTTATTACTGTTTATCGTTCTAATTATATACAATACAACCATTAAATAAAACACTTAAAAAGTATGATTATTACAGTACGGTAACTTGGTTTTCCTTGTAATAGTATGTTATGTTGATAATGGGGTGTTAATACACTGCGACCTAAAAGATCTATTGTGCCCCCTTCTGTCGCCACTGCACTAAGGAAATGTCTCAATGCCTATAGCGACCCTTCCAATCCTATTTTCTCAAGGAAGTGTAGGATTTGAAGTGGCTTCAAGTTAGGTAAGTCTCCCTCTTCTATTTGATATCCTCCTAGATATAGTGCCCTTGGATTCTGGAGTGCTACACATTCAGTTAGGATGTGAATGGAGGTTTCGTCCTCCTCCTCACAGAATCTGCACTCACTATCCTCTACTACTCTCAGTTTACTTAGGTGTCATTTTAGTCGGCAGTGCCCGGTAAGGATCCCTGTTACAATACGTAGCCTGTTCTTGCTCAGGCAGATGCAGGCTTCCGATCTTTTTTGGTTATATTCACCCAGAAGTATCTTGGCCTGTCTCAGCCCCAAGAGATTGTTCCAATTATCGGTTCTTCTACTACCCAATTCTTTTTTAATCTCTTCTAATATTATGTTACTGCTGATACCGCAGAACGGCTCAGGTCCTACAAAGGGTGTTTGAGCCCCTTTCCTTGCAAGACTATCTGCAATCTCGTTACCCTGTACCCCGTTATGTCCCGGGACCCAAGTGAGAGTAACTCTATTTTTCTCGCCTAGCTCATTCAATTGTTCTAGGCATCTCCATACCATTTTTGAGCTGATTACGTAAGAACTCAGCGCTTTGATGGCTTCTTGACTATCGGACATGATGATAATCTCTTGTCTATGATAGTTTCTCTCGATGTTAAACTGGATACACTTCTCGATAGCGTGAATTTCCGCCTGGAAGATGCTTGGGTATTTTCCCAAGCTTTCAGAGTGCTTGGTTCTCGGCCCATACACTCCTATTCCAGTTCCTTCTATGGTTTTGGAACCGTCCTTGTACCACTGAATAGCACGTCTTTCGGTTGCAAGCGCGATGGATTCTTGGCTCCATTCTTTCTTGCAGCCCAGCTCTGTGGTTTTGAAGTTTTTCACAAAACTGTACTTCTTTTGCATTTCATCCTGGGGCATGTCCCAGGTATCTTTAGTCCTGAAGCAAGTAGACTTTCGTCTGATTACTCCGCTCCTGATCATTCTATATCGTGTCCTTTTTGCCACATTCTCTATCATCAAATGTAGAGGGGTGAGGTTTAAGATCACCTCCATTGCGGCCGTAGGACAAGTTCTCATTTCACCAGTAATGCAAACACAGGCTAGTCTTTGTACTTTTGAGATATTAGCTCACGTAGTAACTAAACTAGTTCTGTTACTTCAGGCTATAGCCCCGTAAGTGATGATTGGTCTCACTATTGCAGTATACATCCATCGCAATATGTTTGGGTTACATCCCCATCGTTTACCCGCCATGTTTCTGCATACCATTAGGGCTTTTGTGGCCTTATTTACTACTTCCTTCTCATGTGTGTTCCAGAGAAGTTTGTTGTCCAGGGTTAGGCCTAGATATTTGACTTCATTTTTCCATTCTATATCTATCCCGTCTAATTTAACGGTTTTGAGATTAAGTTTTCTTTTTCTTGAAAAGGCTACTAGTGTTGTTTTTGAAGGGTTTATACTAAGTCCCACTTCACGGCACCATCTTTTGGTATGTTCTAGTCCTCTTTGGACTATATCACACAGGATATTACTAAACTTGCCACTAGCAAATATGACTATGTCGTCGGCATAACCTTGACAGGGTATGCCGAGGTCAGTCAATCTGCATAGAAGTTCGTCTACGATTAGGCTCCACATTAGTGGGGATAGAACTCCTCCTTGTGGACATCCTCTGGTTGTGCAGATGGAGATGGTGTCCTGCCCTATCTATGTCTCTGCAGTTCTCGAAGATAACAGCTGAGCCATCCATCTGGATGTGATGTTATCTACTCCTCTGTATGCAAGTGCTCTTTTTACAGATTCGTGTGGCGTGTTGTCAAAAGCTCCTTCTATGTCTAGAAAGGCACACACGACCGTTTCTTTGTTTGTCAGTGCATCCTGGATTACATCAGTCAACTGTACCAGGGCAGTTTCTGTAGATCTTCCTGCTCGGTACGCGTGTTGGCTGTGGTGGAGTGGCACCCTCTCCAGGACTTCTGTTCTGATATAGTTATCAACAGCCTTCTCCATTGTTTTTAATACAAAGGATGTGAGGCTGATTGGACGGAAAGATTTAGGATGTGTGGTATCCTTTTTCCCTACTTTTGGAATAAAGGTGACTCTGGCCCTTCTCCATGCTTCTGGTATATATCCCAGCTCCAGACTGCTCCGGGATAGCCGGATTATGTGTGGTAGTAATTCCTCCTGTGCCTGCTGAAGCAGGGCAGGAAATATTCCATCCACACCTGGAGACTTAAACGGTTTAAAAGTGTTTACGGCCCACCGTAACCGATTTCTGCTGCATATATGCTTGGCCACTACAGCGGCCTCTCTTGGGGATCTGCTTACCTTAGTTGTGTCCCTTATTAGAAAAGGTG